CAGCAGGCGAAGGCACAGCTCGACGCGGTGCGCCTCTCGTACAACGCACGTGCCACGGAGTCCGCTCGCAGCCTGCAGCAGGCGATCATCGACGCGATGGATGAACACGAGCTGTAGCACCGCCCGGCATGCGCACAAGCACCTGCCGGGGCGAGGTGGAAAGAAGAAAGAAATGGAGAGAGGGAAACGACAACACAAGTGAAACAAGAAATGAGAGGCAGGAAAAGAGAAAAGAAAATGAAAATTGAAAGGGGGGATGGGGACAAAGAAAACAATGAGGCACGTTGTAGACGACAGAGTACGATGTAGCAGCAACAGCATCAGACAAATGAGGAAATCAGAAGGAAAACAAGAAAAAAAACAGAAAAAAACAAAAACAGAACAAGAGAAATAGAGGGGGAAAGGAACAGGAAAACAGCAAATATGGTTTGAAAGCGGGGAAGATGATCGTTGTTGTAAAAGGGCTGATGTAGAGGCGTGTGTGTGTGCTTGTGTGTGCCTGTCTGTGCGTTCTGTCACAAAAAAAAAGGGGGGGATGCGCGTGTAGGCGCAGTGATAGCAGGGACAGCAATGAGCCAAAGGCGGGGCTGCAAGCAGCAGCAGCAGGATCATGGGCTGGTCTCATTCGTCTTTTCTTTGCTTGCGCCCTCATTCGCTCATAGTGTTCCTGCCTCCCCGCCACCACAGACATCACCACCACCACCACCACGAAAACTGAAACACGGAAAGGTTTAAAAAAAAAAAGACTGAAAAATAACGAAGCAAGACACACTGTACCAAATATGCGTTTCCCACCCGCACGCACGCTCGGATTTCTCCCTTTTCATTGGTTGTACCAGCGTTGCCATCCTGTGGCCTACTCATGTGGGAGCCTAAATTACGCTGTATACACTTGGGAGACAGGAGGCCCACGTGGATATTTTCCGTTCACCTCATTTCATTCTTGTAAGACTCCGCTAAAAGAAACGGTTTGTGTGCGTCTGAGTGCCCTCATTTTCTTGTTGCGTTCGTGCTACTTCATCTCGTTTTCAGTTTCTACTGTTGATCTGTAGAGACAGTGAGAGGGGGAGAAGGGCGTGTGCATCAGACATAGATATGTTCGGGCTGAGCGGCGTCCAGCAGCAGCAGCCACTCTCGCGTGGGCGGCGCTGCCTCTACTGCCAGCAGCACGGCTGCCAGGGCATTCAGAACTGCTGGTGGCCGCGCGTTCGGAAGCCCACGACGAAGTTGCACCGCGACACCGACGCCGGCAGCACGCCAGCGGCGCAAGGGGCACCAGGCGCGATGGAGGAGAACCTGCGCGCGCAGATACGCGTTCTGGAGTGCGAAGTGCAGCTGCTCCGCTCTGGCCTCGGCAACATTGCGGCTGTGCGCCGCCGCGGCCAGGCTGACGCGGCCACCATGACATCCGATGTGTATTTCACTGCTGCGCACCCAACGGCTGCGGCGTCGGCGCGGCGTGACGGCGGTAGCGGTACCACCGCTACCACGGCCGGCGTGTCCTCGCCCAGCCTCGTCCTCATTCCACCAATTCTGCAGGGGAATACGCACTATCAACAACAACAGCAGCAGAAGCAGAGTGTAAAGGATGTCACAACGACGCAGGCGGACAGCCCGCCTGTCGTGCAGCCTGACCACGCCAGCGCGTCGGAGACACAGCGGGTGGATGGGTTGGAGCAGCTCGTGCGGGAACTCGTGCGTCACAATACAACACTTTGTAGGGACCTCGCGGAGGCCACTGCTGTGGTCGAGCAGCGTGACACGCTTCTCCGCTCACTCCTGGAGGAGCGGCCATCGGTGGCAACGCATCTCTCGCCCGCGTTGTCCCCGACACCAACGACCTCCTTTACGCCCTCACAGGAACAGCAACAGGATACGACCTTGGTGGCGCACCTGCTACGGGCACAGGAAGAAGTAGCGCACCTCCGTGCGGAGACGCAACGCATGAGTGCCGCTCTGGAGAGCTGCGAAGCGGAGCTGAAACGCGGTGCCGCCGAGGTGGAGGGGCTTCGACGGCAAGTCGGACAAATAGTCTTGCCGCCGAGTGGCACAGGGGTTGTGGAACAGGCAACCGCTCCTTCCGTTGTTGCGGCTAGCACAGGTGCCGTTCCTCCACCAGTGGTAACACCCGACAGCAAGAGCAAAGGGCCTGGTGTCAGTGATGCTACCTCATCCCCCGCTGGTGCTTCTGTGTGGCAGGAAACGAGCAGCGCGAATGCGACTGGGTTAGCAGCGGAGGTGTGTGACCTGCGAGTGAAACTGGAGTCAGCAGAACGCAAGGTCCTCGCCTGGGAAACGTGGTACCGGCAAGAACAACAACAGCAGCAGCAGCAGCAGCCGTCATCTGAGGTGCCTCAACCACATCCACAAGAAGCGCCTACTATTCCTCCTGAAAGGCGTTGTGTTGGGGAAACAACGAAGGAAGCTAAGCAGCAGCGGCAGCGGGTTGTGCTGCGAGCGGTGCCTCTTGCCGCTCCCACTCAGCGCATTGAATTGCACGGCATTCCGGCATGGCGTGAGGGAAGTTCAGTGGACACGCTGGCAATGGACACTTACGCCCTCATGGCACGGGAGGCTGCCTGGCGCGAGATGGCGAGGCAGCAGCAAGACGCTCTCATGGCGGAACTCTTGACGAGGGAAGGAGGAAGAGGAAGAGGCGTTGCAGACGGCACAGTCCAGCAAGCGTGATGTGCAGGGGTGGGTGGGGGAGCCTCTGTATATTATGCCATAGAGCGAAGCTCTGGACGTGTTGCACGTGGCATGGCGCATTTGATTGCACGCTCTCACTGTTCCCCGCTAGATTATTTTCTTCGGGCATCCAGCCGCATTCCTTTGCACATTTCTTTCATTCCCTTCTGCATTGTGTGTGTGCAAAGTGGTGGTGCTTTGCACACTGGGCCGAAGGGCACATAGGACACGCGAGCACAAGCACAGGCACATCTTTGCATTGATGTCGGGCAGCCTGGCAGCATCCAATAGGAGCACATACGACGAGGACGCGGAATGCATCCTTCGATCTTCTGCTATGCTGGATGTGGGCGATCAACTGCACCGCTACACAGCTGATGGTGCGGCCACACAGCAGCAGCAGCAGCCACATGGAGTGAGCAGATCAGCGACAGACACAATGACAATGGGGCAGGCTGTTCGCATTCCTCACGCACTCCAATCCGCCACGCGGCGCACGATGCTTGACGTCCTCGGGCACCTGCGCGGCAAGGAGGGCACAAGAGCTGGCCGAGACAGCTGCAGTGAGGAACCAGTGGCACAACGGCTTCCACGTGACAGAGTAACAGCGTCGGACGCCAACCGCAACGCCACAGCCGTAAACAGTGCTGCTCCTCCTANCAATCCTTATTCTACTAATACTAATGCTGCTGTTTCGATCACGCATCAGCCAGACCTCACGCGAAGTCTCCGACACCTTTTGCCGTCGCGCCGTGTCGACGCCACGCGTGCTGAAGAGCAGTCGGGAGAGGAATACGACGCTATTTCCGACTTTGACGACAATGAGGAGGAAGGGTTAAAAGGTGATACGGCACGACAGGCCCCGCGGTGGCCTTCAGTGAATGAGCAATCACGTGCAAGCCGTCAGTACCAACGCCGTCTGAGTCCTCCTGTCACACTTGAAAACGAAGAGACGGGAAAAACTTCGCGTCAACGCACCTGGGCGAAGCTCTTTGATTGTGAAGAGATGCACGAGGGGAAGAAAGTGCCCTCACCGCGCAACGGCCACACAGCAGTACTTTCAACACAGAAGTGCGCACCGATGCCGCGCGCGTCCACGAAGTCGTCTCGCAGAAGCGCCAGTTCGCTGCACGGTCTCTGGGCGGATGGTGAAGAGGCGCCGCGGCCATCGAGCGGGGGGCGTACGTCGCTCGCCACAATTCTGGACGCGGCTGAAGCCAGAGATGACGAGGCGTGGGCCCAATCTACTGCTGCTGCAGTGGGTCGGGATGTGGGGCGGCGTTGCTTCGTTGATGTGTTTGCTGCGGAGGACGAGGAGGACAGCTACCTTCTGCCGCGCCACTCGCTCGGAAAGGCGGCGCTCTCCGCCATGCTGCAAGGCCACGCGAGGCGCAGTGGGGGCCGCAGTGGCATGAGCGCGGCACTGAAGCCGTTGTCTGACAACCTGACTTCGGCGCGTGTTGTGGCGTACCTTGTGCGCTCCTTCGAGGAGTGGAAACTGGACGGTGCCGCCGTGCGCCGCACCACCGAGGCGGGAGCCATCGAGTCACTGGAGACGAGCGGTGTGCAGCTTAAACTTCTGGTGACAATGTTGGATTGCGCCTTCTCCCTCTACTGCGTGCGCGGCGAGATCGTGTGGATGGAGGCGGAAACGGCGAAGGAACTCCACGGTTGCGGCACTGCAGCACCATCGTTGGAGCAGCAGCAACTGGATGCGGTTGTGGACGGTGTAACAGTATTGAATGACTCCTGGACAGTGGTTCTGACGGCAGCGAGCTTTCGCTCCACCCCCATCGTTGCGGGGGAGCATCTGTACCTTGCGCGGCCCTTCTTCTGCTACCCGTCCATTCGCGTCATTGTCGCCTCGTTAAACATCACCTCTGATGCGGCGCTGCAGCCCGTGCGCCGCCGTCGCCCACGTGAGGCGGAATCGTCGCAGCAGCTGCACGACGGCGGCGGTGGTGGGGACAAGGAGCTATCGATGGGAACAACAACACCCGACAGACCGAGCAGGCCCTCTGCGTCGCTCAGCGCCCCATCGCCGTTCTCCGCATACGACCCATTCGTCCATCCTCCGGTGGATCTCTTCCGTAGGCACGCCGCAGCCGCTGGTGTGTCGGGCACACCGTCGCAGGGGCAGCAGCAGCAGCAGCTGCAGCGACTAAGCTCGGCGCCCCGGGCGACAATGACAACAACAACGACTACTGGGACTGAGCAAGCCACAGCGCAGGGTCAGATATCGGCGCTGTCGCAGGAGGCAGTGCCGCTTGATGCTGTCGGTGCGAATTTTCCCCGTGGTCCGTGTGAGGAGTGGGACGTGCCGCTTGAGGTGCTGCTGGCGTTGTGCCCGCCGCGCAGTCAGTCCCATTCCGTTGCGGCGGCAGCAGAATCACACGGCAGAAGTCTGCCTGTGGCGCCGCACAGGGCGAGTAGTGAGGAGTCCTCGTCGCTCTCGTCTCTTTCGTCGCTCGAAGGTGTCGATGTGGTCTTGAGCGATTGACGAATGGGTGCGAAGTATATGAACTCCCACTGGAGTTTGCGTCGTGGAATGCGGTCCGTGGCTGTGTGTGTTTTTTTGTCTTGGCGCCTATTTCGCTCTCTCTCTCTCTCTGCCCTGTTGTGTGGTGTAAAGGAGTCTTCCTCGGGAGGGCAGGCAACGGAAGGGGAAGGAAAAGAAGAAAGAAGCAGGAGTAAGCGAGAATGGACGATGTCTTGTTGGGTAGAAACGCGGTGCGGCTCCCGTGCCAGTATGACGCCACCAGCTTTCTGCAGTTGTGTCCGTCCAACGAGCAGTACCGCATTCTCGCGAGTATCTGCCGGAGTGAGAGCCAATGCTCTTCGAAGCTGCAGCCGCAGCATGAAACCGTCCCTGATGTTTACTACGCTTCTCGCTTGATCGCGTTCTCGACCGGCCGTGGACGGCGAGCGGGGGTGTTGGAGGTGCTCAGGGCCCAGCAGCAGCAGCAGGCGAGGGAGGAGGAGAGGCGGCTGAGGCTGGAGCGCCAGAGACAACAAGAGGAAGTAGAGGCTGAGCACAGGCAGCACGTTGAAGAGGATGAAGCAAACCAGGGAGGCGAGCAGGAAGTGTACTACAACGAGGACGAGGATTACTACTACGACGATTATGGCTATTACGACGCTGATGGGAACTATTATTACTTTGAAACGACAGGGGATGAAGAGAAGGCCGAGGGGGCAGAAGCACCTCAAACGAGTGAGACAGGACACCGAGAAGGCGAACAAGAAGAAGAGCAACAACAACAACAGCAGCAGCAGCAGCAGGCGCCGCCACCGATGCTGGCAGACGGGTGTGAAGAGGTGCAGGATGATGCAGAAGCAGAAGCTGAAGCGCTGTGGAGGAGCGATGATCCGTTTGACGAGGCTAGGCACAGCGCAGCTGGTGATGGCGCAGGTGTGGCAGCACCAGAAGAAGAGGGAAAAGAGCCGACGTACGTGCGTGTCTTGCCGGGCGAAAGTCACTGGACTGACTCACCGTTTATTGGTGGTGTGTTCACGCTTTCTCGTGCTGCACAACACCTCGAGGGCTCGCTTCCTCACGTGGACGCCTATCTGCGCGACGGCGGCGCACTTCCTTCGCTACCTGTCAGTGTCGTGGACGGTTCCTGCGAAGCCTCAAAGGAAGACGTTGCCCTCTGTCCAAGCTCCATCCACGTTCTTGCAAGTAGGCTCTCCCTGCACGTGGTGCATGTCCCGCCGCCTCGCAGCAAGCAGGAGGTGGTCGAGGAGGTGGACGCGGTGGCGGCGCTGCTCAACCGCCCTGCACAGGCCTGCGTGCTTATGTCCATCCCGCTGCCGCACAGCTTCGGCAGCAGCTGCACAGCTTCTTACAGTAGCTTAGGCAACGGGTACGTGCTGCTTGAGATCTACGCGGCGCCGGCACGCGCCACAGGTGAGCCGGATGACGGTGTGACGCTCTCCATGGTATTTGGTATTCCGCCCGACGCGTCCTTCCGCTCCGTGCCGCTGGCGTCCCGTCTTGTGCAGTGCTACGAGCGGCGTGTGCTACAGCACCTCGCTCAGTGCGGCTGCGTAGAGGATGTAGCGCTTGTAATGGAGTTGTGGGGCTCCAGCGGTGCTGCTGCTGCTGGTGGTGGTGGTGCCTATGCGGAGGACTCGCAGAAGCCTCTGTTTAGCTACTCCGCGCTGCTGCTCAGCGAAGCGAGCGATACGATGAACGATGCGGTAGGGGAGCTCGTGTACGACGCAGCTAGCAACTCGCTGCTGCATTGCGGAGAGCGCGAGTACGCTGAGCGACTGGCACGGGAGCGTGAAGAGGCGTTCTACATGGCACGCAACATGGAGTCCCCGCAGCGGCGCTACGTGCGCGAGGCGGTTGAGGCGTTGCAGCTCGACGAGGCGCACGACCGTGTCACGCTGGACGCTGAGGCCATGTCGATGTATCGGGTCGGCCACTTTCCTTCTTTTCCCACCGTGGCCTCCGTGGTGCTGCCGTTCCTGCAGGAGTGCGAAGCGGGTGCACTGCAGCTCCGCGAGGATGAGCAGCGGCAATGGGAACGGCTTTTCCGCCGCTTCGGCGAGCGCCGCCAGCAGCTTATCGCCGATGAGACGCGGCATCGGTTGGAGGATCAGTTCAGATTTGAGCGCCGGCTACGTCTGCTGCAGTGCTCGGTCGGTTTTGACGTGCTCGTAGAGCGTGAGGCGGCCGCGCGTGCTGTTGTGGAGCGCGACGAAGCGTTCTCGCGTCACGGAGGTGATCTGCTGGAGTGCTGCGTCGCCCTACTGGCCTGTAGGCGCGTAGAGGAGATCGAACAGAGAGCGGTAGCGACAGTGGCCAACCCACTCGGGGAGGCGGAAGTGGAAACAAAGCGGCAACTCACGCACTTCACCGCCGTCTATGCGTCTCCTGTAGCCGGGGACGCGCTGGTGCGCTCGCCGAGCCCCTTGGAGGAGTCGCCGCGGCACCAGCGCTCTTCCATGCGCTCCACGCACTCGCTGACTACAGAAGAGTTCATGCGCGTGGTTGCGGATGGCTCCCGCAGCGCGCCCAGCCCGAGCCACTTATATGCCCCACGACGTGTTCACCTCCCCACAGTCTGACGCGGGTGGTCTTCGAGAGTAATTTGGTTGAGAGTGTGCGGGGGCACAGCTGAATGGTTATCGTATTTTTTTTTGTTGCTTGTTGTTTGATCGATAGTATTTATTTTTACTTTATCGTGTGTTTGCTTTTTTTTTTTGAAAAAGTGTATCAATGCGCTGCACACAACAGATCCCCTGCTGACCTGATGTGTGTGTGTGTGTGGCAGGGGTGAAGGAGGAGGACGGGGCGGCAGGTGATGTTGTCTTCATTCAAGACGAATCAAAATGTTGTCGGAGGGGAGCAACTGGATCCTACTTGGTGTTGTTTGTACTTGTATGTACGTGTGTGTCCATGTGGCAGCCTTCACCTGATGGGGTGAAGAGAGAAGCGAAAAGTTAGATTATTCTCTCTCTCTCTCTCTCTCTCTCTCTCTCTCTCTTCCCCTCTTATATGAAAAGGCGGTTACCCAGGTTCTCAGGTGTCACTATACATATATNGACGGGGCGGCAGGTGATGTTGTCTTCATTCAAGACGAATCAAAATGTTGTCGGAGGGGGGCAACTGGATCCTACTTGGTGTTGTTTGTACTTGTATGTACGTGTGTGTCCATGTGGCAGCCTTCACCTGATGGGGTGAAGAGAGAAGCGAAAAGTTAGATTATTCTCTCTCTCTCTCTCTCTCTCTCTTCCCCTCTTATATGAAAAGGCGGTTACCCAGGTTCTCAGGTGTCACTATACATATATATAAAGCGAATAAAGGAAAGCAGTAGTGGGTTGAGTCTGTGTCTTTGAGTGAGACATCAATATAGCAGCAGGCAGCGGTAGGCGGCATATTTGGGCAGAGAAACAACCCGACGAAAAGGATGGCGAACGGTGTCACTGCGAACAGCATGCGCGTGAGCGTCAAGGCGCCTGATTTGGGTGCCTTCCCCCTCGACCACTACCGCGAGTGCAAGAGCCAGATCGAGGACTACTACACGTGCCTGAAGCAAAACGAGTACGTCACGCCCATGTGCCGGGACCAGGTGCGGTCGTACCTGCAGTGCCGTATGGATCGCGGCCTAATGAAGGCGGCCGACCTCGAAGGCTTCGGCCTTCCCAAGACGGAGTTTGTGCCGACGCGGCAGCACCGCATTGACCTCAAACAACAGTGGCTGCGGCAGAAGATGAATCAGGTTACGGTGGTGTGGGAGGAGAACTACAAACGCGACGACCTGCAGGTGCCGGATGGATATGAGCGGGAGAAGGGCAGCAGCGGCGCGGATACAAAGCCGAAGGAAGAAAAGGGCGGTACGTAGCGAAGAGGCTGAGAGCACTCGAAAG